TTGTGAATGTGAGTCTCGCTTGGTCCTGATCCTTCTGATCCAGAACCCGAACCGCATCCCCATGTGATTATTACCATTTTGGAGATATAGATGGGGCTAGATTAATACGAATCTATAAACTATATCGGGATAACGATCGATACTTTCCAGCCTCTTAATAATCTTGTGTCTCTTCTTGATTCAAGTATGAACCCTGTATTTCCGGTAGTATGGGCTCTTATACTACCTTCCATACCTGTTTATACTCATTCCAAGAATTATACCAATGTTTCTAAGTCACTACACTCTCCTATAAACAAGCCTTATCACTCACACAATGTTCAAGGGTCTAGCTATCTCTTTCCTAGACTTTGCTAGGATCTTAGGTTTCTACCGACGTCCTATTATACGAATATATGTACTATCGAGCATATAATAAATTCCCTAGACTCTATTTCTAGGACTACTTCTACTCTACCCTAGTACTTTCCGAGGAAGAACTTCTACTAATACTAACTAATTATCTGATGAGTACTATTGCATGCCTCTAAAGTCAAACAGTCTGCTGACTAAATGATCCCACACTAGAATGGTGAGACTCAAAGGAGACGTGCGCAATAGCGCCAAATCAGGCAATCTAAAACTATTTGATTATGAGAGCATGCAACCTAACGTATTTTTCAAATAACTAACTAATATGAGTATAGGTTCTAAGTAGAAATTAACAAGTACATCCCTAGGCTATAAGACATCTAATTTATCAGGCAATTCTAACCGGCAATTCCTGAAAAGATCCCTAGCCTGCATGTATTTGTGACATTTCGTATATAAAAATATGGATATTTTGGGAATCACTTTTCTTTATGAGCTTTGGTTGACTGTATGCATTGCATTCTTTTCTATTGAATTTAGTATCTTGTCTTAAAAAGATTTTTTAAGATATTCAGATCCGCGGTTTGAGTCTGGAATCACACGAGTGTTCATCCAATTCTCTCAAACCAGAGCTGTGGTACCAACTTGTAACATCCCGATTTCCAACCCAAAATTTTCATTTTTATTGATTAAAATATTCAATTACATTAGAGTATAATACGAAAACTTGATTGCGAATGCGTGCGTGTATAGTCGAACCTTGCCATTCTGAGGAAGCGATGAAGTGCCTAAAAACATTTATAACAAATGGTTAAGCGCTAGGCTTAGTGAGTTCTCCCAATATACCGTATACCACAATACACATACATGCATACAAATAATGGTTTATTTTAGACTTATGGCTTACACTCCACTTCGTCTTAAACACGAGTCTTCGTGTACTTACGGCGTACACACTATTTCATTAACACGTGTCAATGTATACTTACGTTCTACATCCAATTTCGTTAACATGTGGGCCTATAGGCTCCCGACCTATTTGTCATTTTGCCATCATATCCTAACTAATTTGCAAAAATATTTAAGCATATCTATAATCACACACATAGATATTACATATTCGACTCTATAGGCACGAAAAACTATACTATGGCTCTACACTACTGGTACCTATATCCTAACATACACGGATATCTACTGGAATACATAATATAGTGAGATGAACTGAAATAATACTACCACATATTAGAAACTAGGGAAATCTGGCAATTTGGGTTAGGCCTATCATTAATCCCAATGAATACTGATAGTTCTATCAAATGAGGACCAACCAGGCCAGATAGTTGGGAGGAAGGATCATTTAGGCGTATAGTCATTCCGAAATCCAACAACCAAGCTAAATGACCATTCTAGTCACCTCTCCTATAGGTAGATCAATCACTATAACAACTTGGAATTACTGAGAAATCTTAATTATTGGTTCCTAGTAACGACTTATAATTATAATTATAAATTACACAGAGGCAGAGTAAGTGTATCTCACTTACAGAGTACTATTTATGAGAATCGGGATCTAGGCGGGTAGAAGACTAACTTGGGAACTCCTACTCAAAGATTATAACTAGCTGAGCACTCAGGTGTATCGCAGGGCTTCGTCGGAGTACATAAATCTAAGGAAAATGGTTTAAAAGTAAGGAATACTCGAGAGAAGAGATGTGTGGGGGTGTAGGGAATGAAGCATATATAGAGAGCTCTATATATATCCAAGAAAAGTGAAGCACGTTGTGCACATATAGGGGTGTGCCTTGCACTATAGGGGTGTTGGCTCTAACCTTCTTCTGCTATGTGTCACTTCTAGGTTCATACACATTGGCGCTTATAAAATCTTGTCACGTGTCCTATTTTCCTGGCGCCACATGTAACGATCTTCTGGGGCCACGTGGCCTTTTCTCTCAAGAGAGTAAGCCGCTTGACCATGCCACATGTCGTTTCTATACAACGTCACCTCATCATGTGCGCCGTGCACTTTGCGCGCACGATTTTCCATATTTTCAAAATGATGTATCTTATTCATACGAGCTCCACTTTCGACGTTCTTTATATTTCCGGAAATCTCTCGACGAGATCTACAACATTCCTTTAGGTACCAATAGCTAATTCTCACTCTGTTAAAAAATTATATTTTGATAGGCTTAGACTGTTTAGAGATTGCTACAGAAAGCATAACTCCTACATACGGACTCCGTTATCGATTTTATTTATATTGACGGACTCCTATGGACGAGATCTTCAACTCTCGTTTATATTTTCTTTCTAAAAATCTACCATTCTAAATTTCAATTTTTGTGTTGCATACTACTATACCCGGTTGCACAAAAACATTGAAAAATCATATATATTCTATACGGAGCCGGATTTGGGCGTTCTTTATATGCATGCTATCAATTTAATGACTATTATGACTTTTATTTAGTTCTCTTAGGCTATAAAGTGATTTATCAAAAATCCACTTTTTACGATTCACAGAGTCGCACCAGTTTAATCGCGAAACTTCAAAGAAGCATAACTTCTTCATACGAAGTCGGATCTAAGCGTTCTATATATCTACGGAAATGATATCGATGTTTCCTATATGTTTATGGTGATTACTTGGGCTAAAGATTAATATATTTCTACTTCAAATTTTATAAACAATGGTTTATATTGAATCCTACGGAACAGTAAAAATGGGGTGTTACACTGGCCCACTTCTAAATTTCTTTGTCTTCTTCTAGTTGATACACCTCAGTGCTCTACTTCGGACCTCATCCATTCTCTTGCATGTAGTTATCACAAGATCTTAGTAGAATGGAGAATCCTTCTTTAGGGCCATTTTAAAGGTTTCCATGGAAGTGGCCATGTCAATGTTTGGTATGTTTAATACTTCCCTACTAAATTTGCTTAGGAAGTCCCGAAGGGATTCCTTACGATCGAGGACAACTCGATAAAGATCACTAGTAAACCTTTCAAGTATCTAGCTACAGGAAAATTGATTGTTGAAATGATTAACTAAGTGAGCAAAAGAAGTAATAGAGTAAGGAGGAACATTTAGAAGCAATTTAAAGGTTGATCCTATAAGAATTGAACCAAAACCCTTGCATAAACAGGCTTCTTTTAAGAGAAATGGAATGGCAATGATTCCCATTTTTCTATATCGTGTTATGTGTTCCTCAGGATGTCATGTTGGGATTTTGGAACTGCTTTAGGAGTTTAGTGTCAACTATCGAGGAAATAATCTCAATACTCTATGACTGGTGGGGAATACTTCTGGTATTGATTGAACCACTCCTAGCACACTCGAGGGCATATGTCTTATTTGTTGAAGTTCCTTAGCCATGACTGGACTTATTCATGCATCAAGATTCACAGAGTTAGTATTATAAGTATTACTTTCAAATAAGTTACCAGCATCTATGTTATTAGGGGTTGTGAAAATTTCATTAAGATCATGGATCATAGGAGTTATGTTGTTTGGGATTACACCCACAGTTGGAGTAGCAACAGATGTTGGGGCTATTGTCTCCGGATGTTTCCCAAAAGATCTTGCGCTATTGAAATTCAGGATCTTGGGTTGCAAGATCGAGGATGTCGCTTCATGGGGTTTGAGGATATCTTATCTTATCATTTCCACCTCCTTGAGCAATGTTTTGTTTTCTTCTTATTGTTGCGTTACTTGTTGCATTAACATCTTCCTCATGGAGAAGAGTTCGTTGTTCGAGATCGAAACTGGAGGATCTTTGGACCCCAGGTATCTTGGATTCCTATGGCTAGTGATCGGAGAGGTGCTATTTTTAGAAGCATCAAAAGTTTTCCTTTGATCAGGGGGTCCGCTTGGAGGTGGTGGAAGATTTTTTGAAGAAATGAGAGGAATAGAGGAAGAAGATAACGTGTGTTGTGTATACAAGGTTTTTGAGAATTATGAACACCACAGCCCCACGTTGGGCGCCAAATTGTATTGGTAAAAAATCGATCAAAAAGATATCAACCAAATTGCATGAGATGTTATGGTGTTATGTCGAATTTGTATATGGGATTGGAATCAGAATAACACTAATGATTACAAGGAAATCGCTTAATCCTTGTTAGGATCTCTTGCACAAAACCTTGGGAGGTGATAATGATCACCTGCCTTGATTTATTTTATTGATTGAAAAGCTAATTACAGGAATGATATTGAAAGTACGTGTACAAGTGTTTCTATAGCTCTAGATGTATAAGGTGTCAAAAAATTGTGCCCACTGTGTGAATGTTACTAGTGTATATATAGTCTAGTTTATGTAACGAAAAGTCTTATATTCCCGACATCCTGTTAAACTAGTATTTCCACGTTGCCTTGACTTGGTATTTCTGAATCTTAAGCCTGATTTTAAACGATTCTTCAGAGTTGACTATGATTTTTTTGACTAATTTTGCACATGTGAAGAATAAATAAGAAATATATCTTTTAATTTTGTTAGGAAAAAATAATAACAATGATGATCAGGATCCTAAGATTCCTTTATGGTCTGGAATCCTGAATAGGTTTAAGGATCTTGACCACTAACTGTAGTTATTTTTTCATTATCATAGTAAGTTATAATATTCTTAACTTGATACACAGATGGGGAAGCCTAATTCCGATCATTGGAATCCCTAGCAGCTTTATAAATTTCAGCTTCAAAGGTACTAGTGTTGTTATTAGATTCCGCAGTGAATGGCACATAAGTGGTTGCCATCAGACTGCCAACATTTCCCTTGAATTCTTCATTACAAGACTCCTCTTCTTCAACCCATTCCTCCACTTCAGCCAAAAGAACTTTGGAATCCATATTTTTCTTCTTGAAAGAAGCAAATAATCTTTTATACTTTATCTCATATGACTCATCCTTTATATCATTCTTATTCATCTTGTAGTCCATTGCAAGATGGTTAGTGCCTCCATAGTTGAAGCATTTGTCCTCATCTTTCTTTTCAATTGTAACTTTGCCCAAACTACCAGTGTCAAAAATTCTTGATGTTGAGGAACTAAAATTGGACTTCCTTGGTCCACTAAACTTCTTCCCCTCTTCAAACTTCCTAAAGTGATTTACTATCCAAGTAGCACTTGAAGCGAGCTCAGCATAAAATTCACTATCAGAATCAGTATGCCCAGTGTTATCGTTGTCATTGTCAGGAGCATGGTTTGACATCTTTTAGATCACGATGCACGATTTGTTCTTGAAGTTATATTTCACGATCTCCTTGTGTAGGATCTTGGTTTCTTCATAGTTGCACATATTTCCAAACAAGCTTTCCAGATCCATAGTTTTGATCTTCTCGTTGTTCTTGCGAACACCATGATGTTCCTACTTATGATCAAAGGAATTTAAAAAATTTAGCACAGGAACAGTTCATTCTTTAATATGTTAAATCTTCGTACATCATTAACTGTACAATTAAAGTGATTAAAAGTGTAATTAAGAGTTTCATTCCTATACGCGAAGATTTGTTCATACTTTCAATTGAAGCTATTATCATGAGTAATTATGACCTCATTAGTGCCTTCATTCATATACGCATAGAGTTATTCATACTTCGAGTTTTAAACTAAATGATAGATCTCATAAGGCAAGGAATTTTCGATAGCATCCCGAGTACGAACGTCAAGATTGATCAGCTTCTTGTCGTCTTTAGTATAAGCATGTGCATGAGTTCTTTTTAGTTCACCAGCAACACTAACTTTCATCTTTGTCAAATTTGTAAAAAAAAGTACCCTGTTGGATAATGTTCAACATGTTGTAGTTCATGGTTTCGAGAACAACCATCGCTTTTCTTTTCCACGTCGTGAATTTTTTCTCATCGGAGAACAAAATCTTCTTTAAGGACATACATCCAGAGGTTGATTTTGTAGTACTTGAGGAGGTAGACATTTCTTAAAGTTAAAAGAGAGCCTACTCTGATAAAAAATATTTGGATCGTTGACGTTAGGAACAAACAATAAAATTGACGAAAGAACAAAACGTTTCACAAAGTCTGAATCGAAAAAAACTTTTTATTAAGGTTCTCACAAAGAGAAAGATGTCTAAAAAGAGTATTAGGGTTACAAGTTACAATGAATGTAAAACCTAGTAAGACTTATATACTAAGAAGTATAAACTATCAATGGAAATCCCCACATATCAGGGATTCAAAACATACTATACAAAGATAAGCTCTAAATCTCCAAGATTGTAGATCTGGAAACCATAGTGCATAAGTAATCTTCACATTGTTGGTCAATAGGATGGTTAGTGGATGATATGCAGACACTAATGAATCAACTTAAAGGTAAGATTTATTCATCAGATTATAAGACTTGGCCTTACAATCCTCACACTTAGAAAAATTGATTATAGCACTTGTCACAACTTCAACTAAATTTAGACATTACTTTGAAATCCATCATATCTGTGTTAAGACTAACTTTCCTATTAAGTGTGTTACGAGGAAGCCAGAAATGTCAGGCATAATGTCAAAATGGGAAGTTGCATATTTTGTGACAGATTTCAACATGGATATCCAACCTGAAGCAGATATGGAACTTAAACAACTTCAAGATGAGGATGGACCAAAAAAATGGACTCTTTATAGAGATGGAGCCTTGAATTCCAGAGGAACGGGATTGGGAATTGTGCTCAAATTTCCATAAGCGGACATAATACCCCAAGCAGTGAGTTGTAGATTCCACGCAACAAACAACGAAACCGAATTTGAAGCAATGATTCATGGTTTGAATCGTGCTTACGATCTTGACATCAAGGACATCCATATTTACATTGACACTCTATTAACTGTTAACCATTTTAATGGATCTTATGTAGTAAAGGGTGAAAAGTTATCTGAATTCTTAGAAATAGTAAAAAAATTGGCAAAAGATTTTGAAAACTTCGACATGGATCCAATTCATAGGGAAGACAATACTAAAGCAGATGCACCAAAAAATATTGGATCAGCTCTCAAGATTCATCCTCACATAAAGATTGCAATCATCCACATAACAAACCTAGCAATCAATGAAAAAAACAAGTCAATGAAATCGAAGATGAAGCTTCAACATCTCATTCAGGATCTGACTCAACATCCTAGCTGGAATCATGGATCTCGCTTATTATTAAATACATTCAAGACAAAGTTATCCCTGAAAATGAAACAAACCCAAGGGCTTTTAGGTTAAAAACTTCTCATTTTCATATTACTGACAATGAACTCTTTAGAAAATCCTTGGCAAGACCTTACCTGAGATGCTTAGAGGATGCTAAAGTAAAGCAAATCCTCAAAGAAATTCATGAGGGTGACTGTGGAAGTCACACCATGGGCAGACCCTTCTTTTCAAAAGCCCTAAGAACCGAATACTATCGGCCTAAAATGAAGAAGGATGTTGTTGAATATGTTACGAAATATGACGCATTCCAAAGACACATAAACATTGTCTACCAACTAGTAGAACTAATGCATCATATCTTATTGATGGTTTTTCAGTATTACATCAATCCTATGGTGCACATGCAACCCTAAAGCTCTGGATCTAGGTTTTCTCTAGATAAACATGCAACAAAATTATTCAAAGCTATAACCCTATTCTAGCATGCCTAATTTGAAATTTAAATCTAATACAAAGTTAGAATATTACCTTATAATTGTAGCTTGCTTGATCTTCAACCTTTAAGAACTTAACACCTCAAATGTGTTGCCTCTAATAGATCACAAACACCAAGTGAAAGTTAGAGGAATATGAGAGAGAGGCTAGGGATCAGAATTTCGGCTGGTACTCTTCTAGGGTTCAAGTGGCCAATTTCTAGAGTCCCAAGGGTATAGTTGAGCTACTAGGGTTTCAGTCAAAACTCTAATCTGATTGCTTAGGCCTTAAGAAGTCCAGTAGATCCTTCCAGAAGATCCCTTTGGATGATTTCTATGTGGGCTACACATATAAATTCGTCCACCTCTTCTTAAGGGTTCACAAGCCCAACTTTCAATTATCATATAATTGCAATATCAGTCCTTATAATTTAATTAATCTCTTTTGACCACAAAATTAATTCTAAATTTATTCTTGACCAATATTAATTACATAATATGATTTCTTTTTTAATATATTATTCTTATAATATATTAATAAATCACAATTAACCTCTTTTCTCATAATTCACCCAATCAAAGTGCTTTGGTGAAGGCAACCTAAAAGGACCATGCTACTATCGGGTCAAGTACATACCAATTATAGTTATGGGCTTAGACACCTAATCCAACAGTCTCCCACTCGGATAAGTCTAATAACTATAAATGCAAGTACGACTTCAAAATCCGATTAGCAATCGTAGCTTTCAAAAGCCGTTGTCGAACTCTGACACGTCTTATAGATAAGGGATCATGTAGTCCTCCGTTCTCAAGATATCATGTGGACAATCACATGGAACGTAGTCATACTTATTGTCTATTAGTTTGTTTCCCGGTTTCTTATTTGTTTGACATAGGACTTAATTGAACACATCAATTTAGTCCTGACCGGGCCCGGTACATAAGTCAACACAAAATCATTGAGGGGCCCAAAATACCGCTTTTAATCCTCCTAGGATAAAAGGAACAGATAAACTTTGATTTATATGCTTGTACTATTTACTCATTAAATCGTACACAAAAATACGTTTTATGACATCAAGTTACTGATGTGTTTACGCATTATCAATGTACAACCAACTTGTAAACAACAACTCATGTATCTCGGTTTAAAGACTATATGATATTATCGTCTCACAATCACTCGTGACAAATTCCATGAAGTGATTCATGTGAGTGCGGGTTTAATCCAATACTCAAATCTTATTTCAGGAGCACTCATGAACGTGGTAGCAAACTTTTTTTCTATTTCTAAACGCTTAGACAATCTACAAGCCAATTCATGAGAGTCTTTCCTCAATACCTACTTCCAAAGTATGATCGACTGTTGATAGTTTGAATAATCCTGTTATTCAGGAAATCAAAACATGCAAAAGTGAAACAATAGTAAACAATTGACACAAGATAGTAACTTTACTCATGTATAAAACTCCTTTATTCAATCATCGAATGTCAATTACATTTTATCTATTACAAGTTTCTAAGATCTATCTAATCACTAAAACGAGTATCGTCCTTCAGCCCAATACTCCTAACATGCTGCAAGTGCTTAACCCTACTCAGTCCCTTCGTAAGGGGATCTGTTGGGTTCTCCTCTGACGATACCCTCTTCACTACGAGGAGTCCCTCTTCTACTCGATGTCTGATGAAGTGGTATTTTCTGCTGATGTGCCTGGATCTGCCATGATCCCTTGGTTCCTTGGTTAAGGAGACCGCACCCTCGTTATCAGAGAAATTTCCATGTGCTCTTTTATGGCAGGTACAACTCCAAGGTCTCCAATGAAGTTATTTAGCCATATTGCCTCCTTCGACGCTTCGCTCGTTGCTATGTACTCTGATTCGCACGTTGAATCAGCTACGGTCTCCTGTTTGGAACTTTTCCAAGTTAGTGCTCCTCCATTTAGGGTAAACACCCAGCCCGACTGAGAGCGAAAAGTATCTCGGTCGGTCTGAAAACTGGCGTCACTATACCCTCGCACTATCAAGTCATCACTCCTACCGAGGATAAGGAACCAGTCCTTAGTCCTTCATAGGTACTTAAGAATGTTCTTTCCCGCAGTCCAGTGAGCTCTACCAGGATTCCCTTGATATCTGCTGACCATGCTCGAAGCAAAGGCCACATCAGGGCGAGTACATGTCATAGCATACATGATCAAGCCAACAGCGGAAGCATATGGTACTCGGCTCATCTCTGCTATCTCGGCATCGGTACTCGGGCTTTCAGTCTTACTCAACTTGGTATTGCTTTGGATTGACAATTCTTCTTTCTTGGAATTCTCCATCCTAAAACGTTTTAGCACTTTATCCAAGTAAGTACTTTGACTAAGTCCTATTAGTCTTTTACTCCTATTTATTAATATCCTTATCCCTAGAATATAAGCAACTTCTCTGAGGTCCTTCATAGCAAAGCACTTCCCAAGCCAGGACTTAACCTTCTGTAAGGTTGGGATTTCGTTTCCTATGAGTAGTATGCCATCCACATACAAAATGAAAAAGCTAACTATACTCCCACTAGCTTTGACACATACGCAGGTGTAACGCCCGTAGATCCGGGCTA